TGTCAGGGAACTCTCAAAAGTTCTGAAGAGCAATGGTGTCAGTCTAGAAACTAAGGTACACCTGATTCAGGCAGTTACTTGCTGTGCATCAGAGAGCTGGACAGTTACCACAAATGATAGAAGAATTGATGTGTTTGAATTGTGGTGCTGGAGAAGACTATTGAACATCCCATGTACTGTCAGGAGAACAAACCGGTTTATCCTAGAGAGAGTGAAGCCAGGCCACTCCTTGGAGGCAAGGATTTTTTTTATTAGGTATATTTTAATTACTATTATTTTTAATTTTACATTGGTTTGCATAAAAAGTTTGTATACATTGTTTCACACTGTCCTTAATTTACGATGTGTTTCATATAATCATTCTCACTCATTATGTTTTATATAATCAATCACCATTAAACCATGACCATCATTACCCTGTATTTCCAGGTCTCTGCCAGATATTTCCCTTTTCCTTTACCCCCTGCCTCTACCTACCAAATTGTGTGACCCTATGATTTCCCCTGCCAACCCTCATCCTTCTCTTCCTACCCCTCCCCCCCTTGAATCCCCATATATATTTTACTCATTATCCTTCTGTTTTTATAATAATGTTCCTATGCAGTATTTATCCTTATGAGATGGAGTTAGTTCACTCAGCATCATGCCTTCCAATCCCTCCAAACTTATGTAGTAATTTTTGAAATTGTTGTTCCTGAGTGCTGCGTAGTATTCAGTTGTGTGAATGTACCACAATTTCTTAATCCATTTACTTGTGGTTGGACATTTGGGTTATTCCATGTTCTTGAATTGTGAATAATGCTGCTTTGAACATAGGTGTACAAATCTCCATTTCTGTTTCAATTCTAATTTCCTTGGGGTATATTCCTAGGAGTGGAATAGCTGGATCACATGGAATTTCTATGTTTAGCTTTTTGAGGAAACACCAAACTGTCTTCCAGAGTAATTGTACCATCTTACACTCTCACTGGTATATGAGAGTTCCAATCTCTCCACATGCTCTCCAACATTTATAGCTTGCTGTGCTAGTAACACGTTGCTTCAGATGACAGTTTATAATGAAAAAAATGTGTTTCTAAGCACGGTTGTCAATTTAAAAGTGTGCGGAAACGTGTTAAACTTTGCCACTGCTACTGTGAGATAATGTGAGATAATGATATCTCATTATGGTTTTGATTTGCATCTCTCATATTGCCAGTGATTTTGAGCATTTCTTCATGTGTCTGTTGGCCATCCCAGTGTCTTCCTCTGTGAAAAGTTTTTCCATGTCTCTTGCCCATTTTGTAATTGGGTTATCAGTCTTTTTCTTGTGGAGGCCCTGTTGTTATTATTATTGTTGTGTACTGTAGAGTCAGAACCAACCCATAGCTGACCCTCTGGTGTGTTTTCAGAGGCAGTAATCACATGGGAGGAGATGTCCCCATCCTTCTCCAGTGGAGCAGCTCGTAGCCTTGAATGTGTAATAGTCTGTAATCTTTTCTTATGAGACCTTTGAGATGGTATTGCCAGATACTTCGCCCCGCCCCACCCCAATCATTAGATTTTCTTTTCACTGTGTTGGAACATGTTTTTGATGCAGAGAGGGATTTAATCTTTTTAAGGTCCCGTTCATCAAATTTATCCTTTTATGGCTGTGTATTTCTGGCTGTATATGACAGCCTCTTTATACTATAGGCAAGAACATCTAAGCTTGGTTCATATTTGTCTCTTATGATGTTCATGGTTTTGGGATTTACGCATAGGAACTTAATCCATCTTTTTTTTAAAATGTTGTTGTTTATATGCCATCAAGTGACCGGCAACTTAAAGCAAACCTATGTACAACAGCTCGGAACCCTGCTCTATCCTGTGCCAATCTTACTGTCTCTGAAACACATACCTCCATTACCCCAGTTACTGAATCAGTCCATTTCATCGAGGGTCTTCCTCTCTTGCGCTGTCCCTCCACCCTCCCAAGCATGATGCCTATCTCCAGGGACTGGCCCCTCCTTGCAAAATGTCCAAAGTATGTAAGACGAAGCTTCAGAATCGTTACCTCCAAGGAGCAGCCTGGTCTCATCCTCTCTAGGATGAACCTGTTTGTTCTTCTAGCAGTCCATGGCATATTCAGTGCTCTTCTCCAGCAACATGGCTCAAAGGCATCAATTCTCCTTTCATTGTCTAGCTTTCTGATGAATAGCAAGTAATTGCAAAATCTGTGACCTAGAAAAGGTGCACCTTAATCTCCAGACTGACATTGTTGTTCTTCAGTACTTTGGAGAGGTCTCTGACAGCAGACTTTACCCATGCAATCGGGTTGTGTCATCTGCATAACACAGATTGTTGATGAGTCTTCCTGCAATCCTGATGCCACATTTCTCCTCCTCAAGCCCAGCCTCCCAGATTATCTCTTCCGCATATAGATTTAAAAAGTATGAAGATAGGACACATCCCTGGTTCACATCCTTCCAAATTATGAACCATGAAGTGTTTCTTTGCTTTACTCTGATGACTTCCTACTGGTCCAAGTATAGGTTTCATATAAGCACAATCACATTTCTGGGATTCCCATTCTTCTCAGAGTCAGCCACAGTTTTGTTGTGATCCACACAAACACCTTTGCATACTCAATGAAACACAGATAGGCATTCGTCTGGTACTCTCTGTTTTCAGCCAAGATCCATCTAACATTAGCTATAATATGCCTAGTACCACAGCCTCTTCTAAATCTAGCTCCAACAGTGTTTTTTTTTTGTTGTATCTTTGCAATTTTCTTTATACTATTATATAATCAACATATAGTAACAGTTTAACAATCTCTTTGCTGACCTAATGCCTATTATTTCCTTCTCTTGCCATATTACCCTGGTAAGTAATTCCAGTACAATATTGAATAGAAGTGATTGATGCTGGGCATCGTCATCTGGTCTCTGTTTGTAAGGAAAATGCTTTTAGTCTTTCTCCATTGTGGAGATTGTTGTTGTTGTTATGTGCCGTCGAGCCGCTTGCGACTCATAGCGACCCTATGTACAACAGACCTAAACTCTGTTCTATCCTGTGCCAATCGCACTGCCTCTGACACACCCATCCCGATTACCCCAGCCACTGAATCAATCCACCTCACAGAGGGTCTTCCCCTCTTGCGCTATCCCTCCACTCTCCCAAGGATGATGTCCCTCTCCAAGGACCTGTCTCTCCTTACAACATGTCCAAAGTATGTCAGACGAAGCCCCAGAATCCTTGCCTCCAATGAGCAGCCCTGTTTAATCCTCTCCAGGATGAATCTCTGTGTTTTCTTGGCAGTCCATGGTATATTCAGTACTCTTTTCCAGCACCACAGCTCAAAGGCATCAATTCTCCTTCTATCCTTCCAAGTCTTTGTCCAACTCTCTGATGCATAACAAGTGATTGCAAAGACCATGGCCTGTATCAGGCGCACTTTAGTCTCCAGAGAGACACCATTGCTCTTCAGTACCCTGGAGAGGTCCCTAAAAGCAGACTTTCCCATGGCAATACGTTTTTTTTATTTCCTGGCTACCGGTGCCATGAATGTTGACCATGGAGCCAAGCTGACTAAAGTTGTTAACAATCTCAGTCTCTTCACCATCCATCCTGATGCCGTCAGTTGGTCCAGTGGTAAGAATCTTTGTCTTCTTGACATTGAGCCTCAATCCATACTGAAGGCTGCAGTCCTTGACCCTCTGCAGCAAGCATTTCAGGTCCTCCTCAGTTTCAACAAGCAGGGTTGTGTCATCTGCACAACACAGACTGTTAATAGATCTTCCACCAATCCTGATGTCACATTTCTCCTCATAGAGCCCAGCCTCTCGGATAATCTGTTCTGCATACAGGTTGAAAAATTATGGAGATAGGAAACATCCCTGGCGTACAACTTTCCCAATTTTGAATCATGAAGTGTTTCCCTGCCCTGTTCTGACGTCTGCCTCTTGGTCAAAGTATAGGTTTCACGTTAGAACGATCAAGTGTTCTGGGATTCCCATTCTTCCCAGAGATACTGGCTCTTAGTTTTGCATATACACTTTTCACAAAGTTGTGAAATTCCTTTCGATTCCTATTTTGTTGGGTGTTTTTTTGATCAGGAAGGGGTGTTGGATTTTGTCAAAAGCCTTTTTTGCATCAATTATTAGGATCAGGTTCTTGTTATTTGCTTTGTTAATGTGATAAATTGATTGTTTTTCTTATGTTCCACCATCCTTGCATACCTATTAGGAATCCTGCTTGGTCATGATGAATTATTTTTTGGTGTGCCATTTGATTTTATTGGCCAGGATTTTGTTAGGAATTTTTGCATCTATATTCATAAGAGATATTGGTCTGCAGTTTTCTTTCTTGGTAATCTTTGCCTGGTTTTGGCATTAGGGTTATGCTTGCTTCATATAATGACTCTGGGAGTGTTCCTTCATTTTCTATTTTTGAAATAATTTAAGTTGAATAGACAATAGATCTTCTCTGAGTTTTTGCTAAAATTCATCCATGAAGTCATCTGGTCCAGGACTATTTTTGTGAGGGAGTCTTTTTATGACCTCCTCAATTTCTTCTTTTGTAATGGGTCTGGTTAAGTGTTCAAGTGTTCTCCTCTGTCTGTGTCAATCTAGAGTGACATCACAAGAGAACCAGAGGAAATTAAATTTATAATATCAGAATAATATGAAAAGTTATGCCCTGATAAATTTGAATACCTGGAGAAAATAGACAAATTCCTTGAAACTAGATGAACATTCTCCTCATGTGTTATTTACAGCTTCTGAAAACTGGAGGGTCAGCTCAGAGTTAGTTTCATCTTGATGGCACACAACAACAAATATGTATTTTATAAAAGAATTTATTATTTTCTATTTTATAAGGTGAATTAATGATATGTCCTTATTTTCTTAAGTAAAATACAAAGTTTATTCCCCTGAAAATTGAACTTTCCCCCCAGAGAATATAAGAGATATATTTCATAGATTCACATCCTGAAGTGTGAGTTGCTGATGTTATTTTTTTCCTGCCTCCATCAGGTTTGCCTGTCTGCCCTGAGCTGGTCAGAGACCACATCCCTAAAACCAAGGACGTGGGACATTTTTTATCTGTCACTGGGACGGTGATTCGAACAAGTCTTGTGAAAGTCTTAGAGTTTGAGCGAGATTACATGTGTAATAAATGCAAGCATGTGTTTGTGGTCAAGGCTGACTTCGAACAGTATTACACCTTCTGCAGACCATCCTCATGTCCTAGCTTGGAAAATTGCGATTCCTCAAAATTCAGTTGCCTCTCAGACTTGTCTTCCTCTCCAGCCAGATGTCGAGATTATCAAGAAATAAAAATTCAAGAACAGGTAAACAGTCTAATAAATTAGAAAAGTAACATGAATTGAAAAAGCAAAGTGGAAGTGGGATGTGTGATGTTAAATGGTAGGGACCACAATCATTTTCATTTCACGACGTGGTTACTGAATGGAAAAGTACTTGGCTTAGAAATTTTGACTCAGAATATTTATGAACCATTGATTGGAAAACTGATACACTCCATCCACTTTCACTTCATGAACAAAAAACAGCAGAGAAGAATAACATACTCTGTAGAGAATGGAAAAAACTAAGTGGTTTTCAGCTATGAGTAAATTGTTACGATTGGGGAACTCCTGCTTACCTCTAATGTAACTCTCTAATGAATTACAAGTGGAATTTGTGTCATTACTTTGTGGATGATTAATGTTGAAACTATTATACATACATCAGCACATACTCTCTAGAATCATGATGTAATCTTTTATTATTTTTACTTTGGTGACAGTATACATGTCATTTATCTTTAAATAATGTTCTTTTAGATACAGCATTGATGAGAGGTTGTAGAAAGACTACATGATCATGTTAATATTAAGGAAGTGAATATTTAAGAAATCTGTATTAGCAATTGACTAAGGCCAGAAGAAGAATGAGATTAGGCATTAGTGTGGTCAGGAATTGGGCTTTTGGTCAATTTTAGTTGCTTTGCCAACACTTTACCAATTACTCTTTAGCACATGATGATAAGCCTGGCTTTCCTTTACTTATAGCCTAAACACTAAGATTCTTTAACTTAAATAAGCAGGAGATAAACTAGCATGTAGGCTCCTCAGTGTCAGGAACTCAAGTCTTTCTAGTCTACTCCTTCCATCTTTCTGCTCGGCTATTCTTAACATATGGCTTCTGTTCTTATGCTGATCTGAGATGCAGGATGGCAGCTCCCTGGCAGTGCAAGAGGAAAAGGGAATGGACAAAAAGTACGCCACTTAGCCAGGAGTCCATTTCATTCTGGAAGCCCCTAAAACAAGTCTACTTGTGTCTCTCTGGCCAGCAGTTAAATGTCTGACCACACATAGATGCAGAGAAGCCTGGGAAATACATAATCTTTTCTCTGGATACATTTCCACATGGAATAAAATCAGGGTCCGTTCATTAAGCAATAATCAGCAGGATTTAGTGATTTTTCTCAGGTCTTATTGACTAGAGATCAGGAAAGGGAAATGCCTCTCCCTATATGGGTAACATGATTACTGGTAACAGTAGTTATATTTTGACAAACGGTGCAAAAAATACATTTTATGTAGAGATATTTTCCATATTGATACTTTTACTTTAATTGTGAATTCACAAACTGATAGTAGGCAGCATTGTCAAGATAATTCCTTAAATCTCCATCATAATTAAATTTGATAATACTTGAGAAACAGAAAACATAGTTTTAAAAATTGCTAGTCTCCTGAACATTGAGTCAGTGTGTATTAGAGAGCCTCAATATCTGCTTTCCTTTTGCTGCTAGGTCCAAAGGCTCTCCGTTGGGAGTATTCCACGATCTATGAAAGTTATCCTGGAAGATGACTTAGTAGACAGTTGCAAATCTGGTAAGAACTTTTATTTGGTATATAAAACCAATAAAAACCCCAGTCTTACTGTCATCAGGCCTATTCCACACACTTATGGTAACCCTTCAGGGGATTTCTAAAATGGTAAATATTAACAAGAGCAGACTGCCCCAACTTTCCACCCTGGAGTAGCCGGTGTGGTAGGCCTTAAATTTATGGTTAGAAAGAGCAACTTGTATTTTCCCAAAAACAATGACAAGGGTTCATGGAGAATTGCTGACCTTGAGAACAGAAACTTTCATAGAGGAGAGAACTTGAGCTCTGGTGGCCTAGTGGCAAGAAGTTGTGCTGCAATCCCAAAGGCATGCAGTTCAAAGCTACCAGCTGCTCTGTGGGAGAAGGATGGGCAGTCTTGTCCCATGTGATTAACTGCCTCTGAAAAACCACTGGAGGGTCAAATATGGGTCGGTTCTGACTCGACAGTAAACAACAACAACAACAGGGTTGTAATCCAGTTGCTTATTTTATGGATGAATAACCTAACTTGATTAATGCCATTTAGTAAATTTAAGTGACAGATGAACACAAAGCCATTGCCTTCAAATTTTAAACTCTTCAATACACCATACCTTAAGAGCAACAACTTTAAAATTTTAGTGGATTTAATAGGCAGGCGTAGTGGGAAGAAGCTGTACTACAGTCCCAAAGGCACACAGTTCGAATCCAGCTGTGCCACAGGAGAAGGATGGGCAGTCTCCTCCCATACCATTAACTGTTTCTAGAAGCCCACTGGGGGGTCAGCTATGGGTCAGTTTCAACTTGACAATATTCAACAACATATAAAATGAATCACGATGCGACCCTTTAAAATGCTATTATTATGTTAGTGTTTTCTGAAAGGTAAGAGATTAGCTTTGTTGGATGCTATATAACATATACAGCAAGGAAGTTAAAAAGTTGAGCAGAGGATTTCAAAGGGCAGCTCAGGAATAGAAAGCAAAGTATTAATAATGAATGGGCAAAGAGCTGAACTCAGAAGATCAAAAGGAGTGAAACTGCTCAGCATTTCTCAAGCTGAAGAAACTGAAGACCAAATTTATACCTCAAGTTGCAGTACGTAAAGAAGCTATGGGCAAAGTCTTGAATGATCCAGGAAGCATCAAAAGAAGATGGAAGAAGCCACTGAGTCTGTGACTAAATACACCAACCCTATGAACATCACATCTAAATCTTGCCTTGTGTCCATGATTGCCTATATGCTCAGGCACATTGTGGTAGTCACTGTGCCAGTCCATACAGTTGAAGGTTTTCCTTTCTCTGACCCTCCACCTTTCCCAGCATGATGTCTTTTTCCAAGGACTACACTCTCCCAACAACATGCCCAAAGTATGTGAGAACCCTGTTTCCTCATGTTTGCCTCTAAGGGACACTCTTTCCAAGAGATAGTTGTCTTCTGACAGTCCATGGGATATTTAGTACTCTTACCCAACACCACAATTTAAAGGCATTAATTCTTCTTTGGTTTTCTTTATTCATTGTCTAACTTTGACATGCATAGGAAGCAACTGAAAAGATCATGGCTTAGATCAGGAGCACCTTAGTTTTTAAAGTTATCATCATTGTTTTTACCACTTTGGAGAGGTCTTTGACAGCAAATTTTTCCAATGTAAAAGAAGATGGAAGTAGTATATAGAGTCACTGTACCAAAAAGAATTGGATGACACAGAAGAATTTGAAGAAACAACATATGATCAAAAGGCAATGGTGATGAAGGAGGAAGTTCAGGCTGCTCTGAAGGACTTGGCAAAAAATAAAGGCCCAGGAATTGATGGAATACCAGCTGACGCATTTCACCAGATGCTGCCCTGGATAAGCTCACCAGGTTGTGCCAGCAAATCTGGAGAACTACCTACCTGGCCAGGACTGGAAGAGTTCCACATTTATTCCTATTCCAAAAAAAGGTGACCTAACAGAGTGTGGAAATTATTGAACAATATCGCTGATATCACACACTAGCAAAATCCTGCTAAAGATTATCCAGAAATGACTGGAACAGTACATTGACAGAGAACTACCAGAAATATAACTGGGTTTAGAAGAGGTCGTGGCACTAGAGACATTATTGCCAATGTCAGATGGATCTTGACAGAAAGCAAAGAGTACCAGAGGAATGTCTATCTGCGTTTCATTGGCTATGCAAAGGCATTTGACTGTGTGGATCACAACAAATTGTGGCTAACCTTAAGGGGAATCCTAAAATACTTGATTGTGCTTATGTGAACCAATACTTAGACCAGGAAGCAGTCCTCAGAAAAGAGCAGAGAAACACTGCATGATTCAAAATCAGGAAAGGGGTACGTCAGGGATGCATTCTGTTTCTATACCTTTTCAATCTATAGGCAGAACTGATCATTCAGGAAGCAGGGTTTTATGAGGAAGAATGTGGCATCAGGATTAGAGGAAGACTCATCAACAACCTATTGTATGCAGATGACACAGCCTTGCTTGCTGAAACTGAGGAGGACCTGAAGCGCTTGCTGCAGAAGATCAAGGGCTGTAGTCTTCAATATGGATTGAAGTCCAACACCAAGAAGACTAAGATTCTCACCACCTGGGCCAATTCGCAGCACCGTAATAGATGGAGAAGAGATTGAGGTTGTTAACAATGACAGCTTGCTCAGCTCCACAGTCAACACTCTTTAACACCAGTAGTCAGGAAATCAAAAGATTAATTGCATTGGGAAAATCTACTGTAAGGAACCTCTCCTGAGTATCGAAATGCAGTGATGTCAATCTGGAGATTAAGGTGCCTAATCCAGGCCATGATCTTCCCTGTTACTTACTATGCATCAGAGAACTGGACAGTGACTAAGAGTGATAGAAGAATTGATGTCTTTGAATTGTGTTGCTTGATAAGTCTTGAACATATCATGGACTGCCAAGAAAACAAATAGGTCTGTCTAAGAGAAGGTGAAACTAACTTTCACTTGGTGACTAGGATTTTGAAGCTCCATCTCCTTCTCCAGCAGAGCATCTGGTGGATTTGAACTGTGTGCCTCTGGGATTGCAGTGCAGCTTCCTGCCACTAGGCCATCTCACATACCTTGAGCATGTGGCCAGTCCTTGGAGAAGGACATCATGCTCAGAGGAGTGGAGGGACAGTGCAGGAGAGGAAAACCCCGATGAGACAGATTGATACAGGGGCAATAGGGTTTGGTGTGTCGAAATTAGTGAGACTGGCTCAGGACAGGGCAGCGTTCGGAGCTTCTGTACATAGGGTTGCTGTGAGTTCCATGCAACTCAACGGTACACAACAACATTTTTTTCCCCAATAGTACATTATAAATCATATCCCATAGCTAACTCATAGCTGACTCTATAGCAGATTTTCAGAGCAGTCATTCATCATTCTCCCATGAAGGAGCTGGTGGATTCAAACTGTGTGCCTCTGCATTGGCAGTGCAATTCCTTACTAAGCCACCAGAGCTTCCAAAATATATGTCACCTTGATCAGGCCCTGATTCTTAGTGGTTTATTCAATATGCAGTGATAGAATTTGGCAGTTCTATAATGATGTAATTACCAAATGATGGGATGTTAATTAGTTGTAAGTGGATTAGGAGGGTAGGATCTAACAGTCCTACCTGTTGAAAAAAAAAGTTTTAATAAATAATTTCCTGCTTCAGAGGTGTCTTATATACTTCAGTTGTTCCAATGATAATGTGAGCCTGTCATTCAGTAAGTATTTGACTAAATTAATACAAGGAGGTTTTGAAAGGTCTTCATTGCTTTATAAATGTAAGGCAGGTTTAGTAAAATAGCCAGCATTTCTTGAACTCCTACTGTGTCCTAGACATTGCAAATTTACATACATTACCTGACCTAACAGGACTATGACTACAATCCTATGATATAGATACCCGTATTCTCATTTGGCAAAATAAAAACAGACACCACCACCCCCCCAAAAAAAGCTTTAGAAATTATCATGGATTAAATTGTGTCTCTCCCTTCCCTAAAGCTAGTCAGCTTGGCTATGCCCTGATTCTCTGTGGTTTGTTATGTAACGATGTCATTACCCCATGATACCATCAGCCAGTTGTAAGGGGATTAGAGTAGGATGCAAAAGTCTTAAATTGTATGCTACGTTTTCCACATTATCAAGGCTTATTGCAATCAGATTACTACTACTAGATGCTGTCTCTAACAGAACTGAGTTCTTTATTTAACTAATTTAGAAACAACCTAAATATAACCATTAAGTGATCAAAGTAGAGGTCTATTCCAAAGTGCTCCAGGTATTTTCACCTGAAAAAAATTGGAAGCCAGACAATACAGGAAATCTTATTATCCTTAACTGAGTCTGAAAACCTTCCAGAGAAGTAGCTTAGGGAAGAATATTGAACATTATTCAATATTGTTTATGCCCTATGGCTATGACCAATTCCAGCAGAACCCTTTACTATTGGAAAGCAAAAGCTCTGGTGAGTTTATTGCAAAATGCAGTAACATATAATTGACACAAAGGCTTGAAAATAAAGAATTAATTCAGAAACAATGTCTGTTGTGCATCATAGCTCTGGCTTTGGGGTTAGAGTATGCCCGAAATCCAATGTTCACTTAGGCAGAAATCTTTTGAGGACTAGGATCGGCTCCCCCTCACCCCATTTTTCTCCACTTCCAACATACCGGATGCCAGGAATCCATACGTTCTTGTTACACTGGCATTTCATGTAATGAGCATGGGTTTTGTTGTGTGGAGCTTCAGAACATTTCCTCAGATGGAAAAGAACCAATTGAAAAGACACTGGCAGGGCTGTTAGTATCTTTTCATTTGCTTATGGAAGGAGCTTTAATATGTAGCAGGTATGCACTTTCTTCTTAGTTCTTTTTGTTCATTCAGAAAAGGAAGTCCATGAGTAAAATATTAATGAATGTGCTACATTTTTAAAAAATGAGCATATAAAAGAAAACCAACTGGGTGTCAGTCATCTTAAGATTGCTTTCTCAGCACCAAATTCTTTCTAGTTTAACCCTGTGACTGCAATGCCCACATATCTAAATGAATGGGTGGAGGTTCGGAGAGGATGAGCATATCACACATTGTAACTGAGGCATACATCACCCAGAAACTGTTTCCCAGTGAAGGGTAATTATTTGGTGCGATTACGGTATGGCAGATTCAGAAACTAAAAAGGATTCTTTAGATACTCAAGGCCGTTGTGTCGGTTCCAACTCATAGCAGCATTCCATTGGGTTTCCAGAGCTTTTCATTTTTATGGGAGGAGATGGCCCATTTTTTTTATCCTCCTAGCAACTGGTAGATGTGAACTGCCAATCATCCCATTAGGAAACCAGTACATTAAGAACGGCACCACCATGATGCCATACAGGTGCTAGAAAAAAAGGAAATGTGGGAGACTGTGGTGATTCTTGTGCCATCACACTGTAGTCTGGATGTGCAGTGAGTACAGCCTGAACTCTGCTGGGATGACTGGTGTATTTTTCATTTCTGGTCTTTTGATCTGTAAGTCTGCACACAGCATGTATGGTACCAGACTCACCCGGTGCTTTTCTGCAGGCGATGACCTCACTATTTATGGGGTTGTAATGCAACGGTGGAAGCCCTTGCAGCAAGATGTGCGCTGTGAAGTGGAGATAGTTCTGAAGGCCAATTACGTCCAAGTAAATAACGAGCAGTCAACAGGGATCATCTTGGATGAAGAAATCCGAAAGGAATTTGAAGATTTTTGGGAAAACTATAAAAGTGATCCTTTTGCAGGTTTGTGATTAGAATGAAGTGATAATTACTGGTATTTCACTCATAGGTGAACATCTTTATCTCAGAGTCTGCCTTAAATGCTGCATAAACCCCAGTAGCCGAGCACACCAGGTAGCACTGACTGCAGTCTCTCTTTATCCCCTTTCTGTTAGTCTTTTAGGCTGAATTCTAAGAGCTTTTCGTGTCTAACTCTTAAACATCTCTTCTGTAAGATGATTCTTTACTACCTTCTCTACCAATTAAATAGCTCTTCCTTTGAAAAAGTGAACTTTCATCCCATTGTAAAAGTTAGTCATAGTATTTTCTGATGTATCTTAAAGATAGGTTCACACTGTTTTAACTGAGGATTTTTTTAATTTAAAAAAAAATTTTATTTTTTTTTGTGTGTGTGTGTGTGTACCGTAAAATCTGATCTGATTGGTACAGGAGGAGATTGTCCCTCCTTCTCTGGCAGAGCATCTGGTGGATTTGAACAGCATACTTCTGAGACTGCATCACAGCTTCTTGCCACTAGGCCACCAGAGGTCCCTTTAACTGAGGATTTTAAGAACAAAATGAGGAGATACAGAAATTCTAAGGCTGAACTGTATCATAGCAAAAATGTTGATGACGACGTTGGGATGTAACTGTATATATTAAAACATCACAACTAATGAGTTTATGATGCAAGATTTTTATTATAAAGCCCCAAAACAAGAAAACAAAGATTCTCACCACTGGGCCAATTGGTACTCTTATTATGGATGGTGAAGAGATTGAGATTGTTAACAGCTTTAGTTTGCTTGGCTCTACAATCAGCACTCTTGGTACCAGCAGCCAGGACATTAAGAGATGAATTGCATGGGGAAAGTCATCTATCAGGAACCTCTCTAGAATACTGAAGAGCAACACTGTCATTCTGGAGACTGAGGTGTGCCTGATCCAGCCCATAGTCTACGCAGTTGCTTGCTATGCATCAGAGAGCTGGGCAATGACTAAGGATGACAGAAAGAGAATTGATTCCTTTGAGCTGTGATGTGCTGGAGAAGAGTGTTGAATATACCATGGACTGCCAGGAGAACAAACAGACTCATCCTAGAGAGGGAGAAGCCAACCTGCTCCTTAGATTCTGAGGCTTTGTCTTACATACTTTGGGCATGTTGCAAGGAGGGATCCTTGGAGAGGGACATCATGCTTGGAAGGGTATAAGGACAAAGAGAAGGAGACAATCGATGAGATGGATTGATACAGTGACTAGGGTTATAAGGGTAGCTGTGTCAGAGACAATGCTGGCACAGGACAGAGCAGGTTTCAGAGCTGTTGTAAATAGGGTTACTGTGAGTCGCAAACGACTTGACGTCTCTTAACAAATGCATAAAACACCGTTTAAATTTTCATATGCCAGTTCTCATATGCCTTTTCCTTAGAGGCATCTTTTAAGAAAACAAAGCCAGTAGTAACAGACCAAATCTAATAAACTTAACTTCAAATCTGATATATAAGCTCTCGTGGCATAGTTGTAAGGCACTGTGCTATCAGTGCAGAGGTAATAGGACTTGAATTCACTAGCTGCTCCGTAGGAGGAAGATGGGTAATCTCCCATGCGATTTACTGCCTCTGAAAACCTGCTCCAGCGTCAACTGTGAGTTGGTTCTGACTCAGCAGTACGCAACAAGTACACACACACTTCCACACTCTCTCCTGCGCGCACCCACTCGCTCTTTCTCTCTCTGTGTATGTATGTGTATAAGTGTGCTCTGGTGGCATACTGTAAGCAGCTGCACTGCAATCCCAAAGGCATGTGTCTCTAACCCATCATCTCCTCTGCAGGAGAAGGATGGACCGTGCCCTAATGTGCAATTTACTGCTTCTGATAACCCACCTGAGAGTCAGCTATGGGTCAGTTCCAGCTAAATGGCACACAACAGATACAACATATAGTGTGTAAATACTGATTTTTAAGAATAACTCTGAGAAGAATGGGAATTCCAGAACACTTGATTGTGCTTATGCAAAACCTATACTTGGACCAGGAGGCAGCTTTCAAAACAGGGCAAGGAAGCACTGCATGGTTTAAAATCAGGATGTGTCCTATCTCTATACCTTTTAAATCTATATGCAGAACAGATTATCCGGAAGGCTGGACTCTATGAGGAGGAATGTGGCATCAGGATTGGAGGAAGATTCATCAATAGCCTGCATTATGAAAATGACACAACCTTGCTTACTGAAACTGAGGAGGACTTGAAGCACGTGCTACAGAAGGTCAAGGACTGTAGCTTTCAATATGGACTGAAGCTCAGCATCAAGAAAAAGATTCTTACCACTGGGCTGACAGGGCAGCATCACAAAAGATGGTGAAGAAATTGAGATTGTATACAGCTTTAGTTTGCTTGGCTCTACAATCAGCACTCTTGGTACTAGCAGTGAAGATATCAAAAGACAAAGTGCAGTGGGAGTCTGCTGTCAGGGACCTCTCCAGAGTACTGAAGAGCAACAGTGTCAGTCTGGAGACTGAGGTGCTCCTGCTCCAGGCCATGGTCTTCACAATTGTATGTTATGCATCAGAAAGTTGGACAATGACTAGGGATGATAGAAGAATTGATACTTTTGTGCTGTTGCGCTGGAGTGTTGAATACCATGGACTGCTAAAAGAACAAACAGGTTTGTTTGTCTTAGAAAGGGTGAAACCAGGCTGCTCCTTGGAAGCTCTATCTGATATACTCTGGACATGTTGCAGAGAGAGCAGTCCTTGGAGAGGTACATCATGCTTGGGAGGGTGGAGGGACAGTGCAGGAGAAGACCCTGAATGAGATGGATTAACTCTGACTAGGGTAATGGGGGTAGGTGAGTCAGAGACAATGTTTGGCTCAGGATAGAGCAAGGTTCAGAGCTGTTGCACATACGGTCGTTATGAGTCATAGGCAACTTGATGGCACATAACATGTATTCTTAAATGATGTGCTGAACTGGATATCATTTCACAATAACAAAACTACCATTTGCTAAAATCTATGCAAACGTTTCCTTTTATTGTGGGACATTTTTTAAGGCTTTTATTTATATGAATAGGACACATGTAGTAGTTTCTGATCTTTTGTTTAAACCATAGGGATAGAAGCAAAAGTTCTTTACACTGTGGCTTGTATTAAGCAAACTTTTTAAGAATCCTAATTTGTTGTTACATATTCTAATGAGATGATTTTTATTGAGAATTGTCTCACTGAAATTGGGAACTCTTTTAAATGTCACAGCTCAACTCTACCTAGCAGCTGTTTAGAGTAGGCATCTAGGTGCTGTACACAGAACTTAAGTGTTTTGTGCTGGTGACTGAAGCGTCAGGCCTAGTGAATCCAAAGTTTTACTATACAACTCATCTTCTGGATAAAAGGTAAATGTAAATACCACCACGTTGGAGAAAGAGATTTCCTGCTATGTTGCTGTTGTTAGTTACCCCGCAGCTGACCTACTCATAGTGATTTTATGCAGTCAAACACCTCTGACCCTGTGTCATCCTCACACCTCCGCGGTTCCTGGGCCTCCTGTTGCAGCCACTCTGTCAATCCATCTCCTTGAAGGTTTCCTTTTGGGGGCTGTTGTCTTTACCAAATATGTCCTTCTTGATCATTTCCAAAGTATGGTAGAGGAAGTTTTGCCATTCTCATTTCTAAGGAGCATTTATTTCAAAGTCTGTGAGCACATGTTTGGGGAAGAAGTAGGGCTGGTGCTCTATCCAAAACGCTTCCTCATTGGCCAGTCTGACATAGCTGAATTCCTTCAAAGACCAGGTCAAAGGTCACACCTGATGTTGTGGGTCTTGACTGGAATGAACGAACAAAATTTATTCTGCACTGCAGTTATCTTAGGGAGACCTGACCTGCTCTGGGATGCCTCAGTTATATCTGAGTTCTCTTTATTGGGTGACTGAGGACCGCGACACAAGTATCTTACTAGGCTATAAACACACTAGTAAATGTGATCTAGATCCAGAAACTGTAGAGACAGGTGAAGGTGGAGGAAGGCCATTTCCACTCCAGATTAGAGTCATGAGAGCTTCTATAGCCTCAGTCCAAGTGCCAGGGCCTTTCATAGTAGACAATAAACTTAGGATAATGGTTCTTCCCCTATACTTTTCTCAGGTACCTCAGGCCTGCCTTCTATCTTTTTTTGTTAACTGCAGTGTGAAGAAGAAATAACCATAAGTAGCACAGGTAATATAGTAATAGCAGGTGGCTATTATGTTCTATAAATACTGTGTTGTGGTAAAAATCCACCAGCCAGTCTAAAGTGGAAACATGGACAGTCTCCTCCCATTAGACTACATACAGCCTTGGAACCTTCATGCAAGGTCGAGTCGTCAAACTCCACTTGAAAGCAGTGAATTTGAAGTTCAGCAATTTTTATTAGGTGCCACTAGGGCTTCTTTTCTTTCAGTATTACAACTTATTAGCTCCTTTTATCCTCAATAAATCTATGCATTTCATCACTATTTCCATTTTACACATAAGAAAATGTGTAAAACCTTACTACAGAGTTTCAGAAAGTTGCTCAGGGTCGCACAGCTAGTAAGGAGTTGCCCTGGAATTTTAAAACCAGACTTCTGACACCAGATTCTGGGGCCTTTACCACTGAGATAGGTTTCCTCTCAGAACTTGAGTTGAATCATCTTTACTCAACAGAAAGTTACAGCATTAAGAGTTTGGGTTTGGATGTTAGCCAAATCAGTGTGCCAACTCCAAAATGTGGTCTTAGATTACTGCTTCTTTCTTATATGGACACTCTGTAGAGTCTAGACAGAATACACCCATTTGCTCTCAGTTCTTAAATGCTTAGCTCTATGACCTACCTTCATCTTTTTTCTGTAGGCTTTCTTCTTCACAACACAGAAGGACTCCTTCTGGCAGCTAATGGACTTCCTTCCGAGATTTACTTATTTTTCTGGTCCCTTTCTTTGCCATTTTTACTATCCTAAGTCATATTACTGTCCCAGTTAGTGTCACCATTTTCATTTTTTCATTCCTAACAAAAAATAGCTTTTGTATAGAAGACAGGTCCTCTTTTTTTTTGGATGGTTTATCAGAAAAGCCCCATAGACTGGGATCACCAGGAGGGTGTATTTGTACAATTTCTTTCCTCCTCAAAAGAGCATTAATGATTTAAGATGAATAGAAAGGCCCGATACATGCAAATTGTGGTGGTGTGCCGCTGAGTCAGGACTGACCCGCAGCCGACACTTCCCCGCACTGCAGTCACCAGCACTGGATCCTTGGCTTTTGTGGGCGTGAATGTAGACACAGACACAGAGTAACCAGCACAACAGTGAGTTCACTGTAGGGTAAGATGGGCTCGAGAAAGGCTTGGGAGCATCTAGTCTATTAGGTGATTTTCAGATATTAAACCAATTACATGGAATTTATCCAAGAGACACAAGATTTGAAAAAAAAAAAAAAAACTCAATAGATCATGTTATATTATTCTTTACAGTTGGATTTTATATACTAAAATTTCATTTAAAATTTTTCCGTTGAGGTTCATGAAGGGATATTAATTTTTAATTTTCTTGTAATTTTGTATTTTCTTGTGTTTTTTTTTTTTCTTTTTTTTTTTCAGTGGAATGCTGGCCTTTTTTTAAAAAGGAGATTAAAGTGTCTCTTCCTTTCATCTTTTCGGAAAAAGTCTGGGTAGGATTAATATATTTCTTCTTTATATTTATGTAATTTATCAATAATTTTCAAGAAGACAATCCTAATTAAGACCAGCATTAAAAAAACTAAAGATATTTACGTAGAGATAGAAAAAGAACTATTGAAGTTGGTGAAAGGAAGGTGAACAAACTCAAAATTTCACAGGTTGAAACCACTGAAGGAAAAATTGGAAGTCTGCAACATTTCACATTGCATTAATAAAGGACTCTGGCAAAATCTCTTTTGCTACATTAGATCCCATTGTTTCAGTCTGTGTTAATCTATCTGTAACAATGGGCTCTAGTGTGCCAGAGATGAGAGAATGGCACCATGTTCGTATGGTTGCTATAAGTTGTATTCAATACAGCAGCACCTGAAACATGGGTAAAATGCGTAGGAAACTAAATAAAGTAGAAGAAATATAGTCACTATACCAAAATGGTTGGCATTCAGCTATTAGGAGGTAGCTAGTAACAGGACTGTTAACTCACGGGGTTAAAGAAGAAAGTCAAAGCTGCGCTGAAGATATGGACAAAACAATTGCTGCAATATGAGTTGTTTCAACAAATGGCTGCAACATTGTCTATGTCAAGAAATCTGGATGCACTACTGGGCGATTCCCTGGGAGAAATCGTTAAGTCTGCTCACTCCAAAGGATCATCAAGGAAATTAGGAAACAGTTTCATTAACGTAACACAAAAGTTTACTTGTGCTGAAGATAATTCACAACAGTTACAGCAGTACACCAACAGGGAACTGCTAAGGGAACGCTGGTGGCCTAGTGGTAAGAAGCTGCACTGCAATCTCGAAGGCATGCGGTTCGAATCTTCTAGATGCTTCGCTGGAGGAGGGGCAATCTCCTGGACCAGTTGGATCCGATTCCACAGTACACAACAACAACAAAAGACCCCACAAAATAAAAACACACAAGGAACAGCTGCCAGACATTCAAGCCAGATTTTCCAGACCCAAGACATCACATGACCTCAGTTGTGGTGTTTTCAGTCACCTTCCATTCATGCAAAAATCTGAATAAGGAAGATGAAAGAATTGATGCCTTTGTGTTTCAGTGTTGGAGAGTACTGACTAGGTCATGCACTACCGGAAAAACAGACTACTCGGTCCTGGAAGACGCAAAGCTGGAAGTAAGCAAGTCGGAAGGAAGGATGGGACTCTGACTCTCTTACTTCGGACATGTCTCTGGAGAAGGACAACATGCTTGGTAAAGTCAAAAAGGAAGAAGACTCTTAGGAGATGGATCAGCATAGTTTTGGGACAGTAGTATCAAACACCAATAGGATAACGAATGTGAGGCTGGCACAGGGCCTTGCAGTGTTTTGGGCCACTGTACATACTGTTGCTATGAACGAGAAGTGACGGAATGCCACAGAAGGAAAAAGTGCAACCTGTGTTATTTTTAGGAATAATAACTGACCTGGTAATGGGCAAGGAAGAAAGGGAGATTTTATGTCTCTATAAAATATGAAAATTTTATAAGAACTTAAGCAAGTTGTTATTACATGCCATGAAGTGGACTGACTCATCCCGTGTGATCCTCACCATCTAATATACTTGAGCCCACTGTTAAGAGTCAGTGTCACTATATCACCAAGAAATAAAAAAGCAGACATTTCATATCGTGGCATAAAAAAGAAGAGAATTTAAAGAACCAAAATAAAATCACTCCTTCTAGTCATTTGGAAATTGTTCTTTTCCATTGTTACATATTGTTGAGTCAGAACTGAATCTTATGTGTCATTGTCTCCTGTGACTCATAGAGACCTATGTACAATAGCTCTGAACCCTAACCTATCTTGAGCCAATCTCATTGTCTCCAACATACCTACCCCCATTACCCCAGACAATGAGTCAATACATCTCATCCAGGGTTTTCCTCTCTAGTGCTGTTCTTCCATCCTCCCAAGCAGGATGTCATTCTCCAAGGACTAGTCCGTCCTGCCAACATGACCAAAGTATGTGAGACAGAGCTTCAAAATCCTTGCCTCCAAGGAGCAGCTTGGTTTCACTCTCTCCACAGCAGATCTGTTTGTTCTCTTGGCAGTGTATGGTATGGTCAGTACTCTTCTCCAGAACCATAATTCAAAGGCGTTAATGATTCTTCAGTCATCCTTAGTCATTTTCCAGCTGTCTGATGCATAGCAAGTAATTCCAAAGACCATGGCTTAGATCAGGTGCATCTTAGTCTCTAGAATGACATTGCTGCTTTTCAGTACTCTGGAGAGGTCCTTGACAACAGATTTTTCCCAGTGCAATTCATCTTCTGAATTCCTGACTGCTGGTGCCAAGAGTGTTGATTGTGGAGCCAAGCAAGCTCTTCTCCATTTATCATGATGCTGCCAGTTGGCCCAGTAGTGAGTGACCTCCTCCCTTCTTGATGTTGTGCTTCAATCCATATTGAAGACTGTAGTTCTTGACCTTCTGCAGCAGATGTCTCAGGTCCTCCTCTGTTTTGGCAAGCAAGGTTGTGTCATCTAGCTGACCTTTTAAAAGCTTGTGTTTTTAGGATGATGATCAGGTAGGCTCAGAAGAAAACATCAATGAGTTGTTTCTGGAAACTGCTGGTGACTTCTGTTCTTTCTTCTTCTAGGAAGGAATGAAATATTGGCCAGCTTGTGCCCTCAAGTTTTTGGGCTGTATCTAGTAAAGCTTGCTGTGGCCATGGTGCTGGCTGGTGGTATTCAAAGGACTGATGCTGCAGGAACACGTGTTCGAGGTTAGTAGCTATTTTAAAATTTTTGAGAAATACTATGTTCGGGAAGAGACCACAAATTTTCTTTTTTGAATAAAAATTTCAAAATGTTATCTTTTAAATCTGGCAACTAATACTTAGACTGGCATCTATACATCAGAATTTCTTTTTTAGAATCCCAGATAAGAAATCCTAAGTTTTTCTATGGATATATATTTTCATTCTAGCCTATGAGAGTGTAGATCAAATAAAGCCTTTATATTTTGATTTTATAAAATGGTGAAACTCTGTCTCACATATTTTGGTCATGTTGTCAGGAGCAGCTAATTCTTGGAAAAAGACATCATGCTGGGTAAGGTGGAGGGGCAGAGAAAGAGAAGTCCCTATCTGACACAGTGACCCTAACAGTTGGATTACACATATTAGAGATGGTGAAACTGGCACAAAATAGGGCAAGATTCAGATGTGTTGTTCAGGGTGGCGATAAGTCTTAGTCACCTCAGTGAAATGTAACAACAACTTTTATTGCTATTATTTTTTTCCAATAGATCCTAAGTTATTCTCCAAGAGGAAATATTAGAACTAGTGCTTTCTCATGTCCCCAAGACAGTGACTCTCCATCTGTGACTGTCACTGTGCTTCTCTCAGGCCACTGCTCCCAGTCATCCGCCTGCTGATTCTCCTTCTGCTAGGAGACAGCAAATGTGCCATCTGTCATGAAGTCTTGTTGTAGGTCACATATTCAAGCAAAGAGGACTCTGTTGTGGATTCAAACCACATAATAATATCTTAATGACAAAATTATTGTGGCTAAACACTCTTAACTGATCTGACATAAAAGCGGGTATATTATGGCCATCCTGTGGGCCACAATAACCAAAGACTAAGGGCCACTGTTGTAAACTAGGTTACTGAAAGGAACTCTAAAATTTTATCATTTAGTACAGTTATCATGTATTGTTATTGCTAGGTGCTGTCGAGTTGAGCATGACTCAGTGTGACCCTGTGAACAAAAGATCTGAACTCTGCCTATCCTGTACCAACCATCCTCACACTTCCTGACACACAAAAGCCCACTGCAGCAGTCATCAAATCAATCCACCTGGTTGACGGTTGTCTTCTCCTTCACCACCCTTCACCCTTCCATCATGTCCTTCTCCAAGGAATAGCATGTCCAAAGTATGTGCGGCAAAGCCTCATCATTCTTGCCTCTAAAAAGCACTCCAGCTGCACCCTCTTCAAGACATATCTGTCTGTTCTCTTGCCCGTCCACGGATGTTCAGTGCTCTTCTTGAACACTACAGCTCAAAGGTGTCAGTTCTTTTTCTGTCATCCTTATTCACTGTCTAGCTCTCGGATGCATAGCTAGTAATTGGAAAGACCACGGCCTGAATCAGATGCTCTTCAGTCTTCAAACTAACATCACTACTCCTCAATAATTTGAAAAGGTACCGAACTGCTTTTCCCAGTACAATACTAAGAACTCTAAAATTGTATCATTTAGTACAGCATCACATATTAAAAGTATCACATTCAGGTACTGCCATCAAATCAAAACTGACTTTCCATCGGACATTCAAATGCTGTAAATCACAGTGCTTCCCCACAGTAAGTATGTTGTCATTCTGACTGTTGAATCGGAACTGACTCACAGCACTTTTCGAGCCAATGACTGCAAGAGAAGAGAATGTCCATCATTCTCCCACAGAGCAGCTGGTAGCTTTGAACCCTGTGCTGTTGGGGTGACAGGGCAACACCTTATCACTAAGCCACCAGAACTCCCTATAGTAAGTAGATATGACATATTTTTACCATTTACCGTTTGCAAGGCACTTGGCTAAATAATGAGTTTAAATAGGGGTTGCTATTAATCTGTTTAGGAAGCTCTGGTGGCCTAGTGGGTAGAGTTACAGTGCCAAACAAAAGGCAGGCAGTTGAATCCACCATTCTGTGGGATTATGATGAGCATACTCCTTTCCTGTGATTTACAACTTCTGTATACTGGCTGCAGGGTAAACTATTAGTAAGTTTCAGCCCAGTACATAACAACAAAAATGAGACATCTAACAATAGAACCGTAATATATCTAGGGAACTTTGGGGGTGTAGTCCCTATGGTATTGTGCTGCTGACCCCCAGAGGGCACCTTTATGCAGGTGAATGCACCAGAGGCTCTACAAGAGAAGATGGAGGTTCAGCGTAATCGGTTCCTACTCTAAGGGCATGAGTTTGAGGTTTTAATACATCTAGAAAACAACTGTGGTTGTAACCCCTTCGGGGGGTGTGAATCACTGGAAAGGTAATACATACCATAAATTTTTCCTACATTTATGTTACAGTTGAAAAAATATTCCTTATCTCCTTTTAACTTAGTGCATTAATCTACTAAATTTTCAAAAAATGAAAAGGCTTTCATTTAACTATTGGAGTGATTTGTTATTTATAAAATGCAGTGGTGTAAAGACTAAATGCTGTGCTCTTAACTGAAAGATTGGCAGTTCTAACCCACCAGCTGCTAAAGTTGAGGCAGTCTCTTCCCATTACGATTTACAGCATCAGAAGCCCAGTGAAGACTGCCTTTTGTTGAAATTTGGTTTGTTTTCTTATTATAAATTTCCCAACACTTGTTTATTTAAGATGTTATGAGCCATACCGACCTAAGTGCTTAAATTGAAAAGAAAACTTGATGGCTATGAACATTACTTGACTTGATGGCACCTAACTACAACAGCAAGTCATCTTCATTCCCCCTTCAATTTGAGTGTGAATTATAACTCTGATTCCAGAGTTAATTGGGGTAGTTATTGAATTAAAAACAAAAGATTATCTTAAAAAAAAAAAGGAAAAAAATCACATCACAACAAACTTACAGACTGAGTGCTCCTTGGAGGCAGTGATAAAGGTTCATCTTGCATACTTTGGAGTTGGACATCATGCTTGGGAAGGTGGAGGGAGGGTTGGCGAAAGAGAGGAAGACCTTCAACCAGATGGATGGACACAGTGACTTCAGCAGTGGACTTGAGTGTTGTCAGAAATTGTGAGAATGACACAGGATAGGACAGTGCTCAGATCAGTTGTTTATAGGGTCACTATAGGCCATACTTACCTAGAAGGCACCTAACAACAGCATGCTTATATGTTGTTTTTATTGTTGTTGTTAGATGCTACCAGGTTAGTTCCAACTCATAGCAACTACATGTACAGCAGGTGGAGCGTGTAAAACATTAGGGTGCTAACCAAAAAGTTAGCAGTTGGAACCGAACTCTGTGGAAGAAAAGATGGGCAGCTCCCTCTCATAAAGATTTATAGTGTTCATCCCCAGTAGAGGGCAGTGGGTTTGGTTTTAGATGGTTTATGTTGAAGGATTTAATTACATTTATTTACTGGTTACAAAATAGTCTGTAAGCCAGAAATCTGTAAAATAATGAACAAAGCCTTAAAAATTTAAGCAGCCAGAAATCTGTAACAAAGTCTACAATATTTACTAGATATAGAACAGAATAACACAGTATTTACTAGAATTTATGTTAGATGTCACGTTGTTGTTGTTAGGTGGTGTCAAGTACAACTTAAGCGACCCCGTGAACGACAGACACATCTGAACCCTGTCCTATCCTGTGTCATCCTCACACTTCCTGACACAGAGCCCATTGCGGCAGTCACTGTGTCAATCCACATTAAATAGTCAATTAAAATTGTTTTCTTTCTTCAGGTAACTTTCTAAACATTTTTTAAACATTTCCTAGAAAGATTTTAAGAAACTGTGTCTAGCAAAAGCATCATGTAAAACAAAAATTGTGTTAGCATTGAAGCGCATATTTCTTTTTCATAAGACATTTATGAGTCCTTTCATAGAGCCTTAAAACTTTTCTTTCCCCCCTTCAGGTGAATCACATCTTTTATTGGTTGGGGATCCTGGAACAGGAAAGTCTCAGTTCCTCAAATACGCAGCTAAGATAACGCCAAGATCTGTGCTTACCACTGGAATTGGATCCACAAGTGCAGGTATTTTATGTGACAATCTCAAATAATTTAAAAGTACCACAGAATCTAACAATTTTTTTTTAACTTTAGCTCATCTAGATGATAACATAATTATGATAAAAACAAAAGGGGGGAAATATTACTAAATATTTGTAATAAACTGAATGTTATTTAAAAAAACTAAAAAACAACTTTTTGTTATGAATAAATCATTGAATGTACAAAAAAAAAGTACCTTTAGGAGGATAACTTTGAAGCTAATTTTTGAGTTATGGCAACGGAAGGAAACACCAATTTCTATTGAAAGGATAAATTTTTTTTTTTTTTTTTTAAAAAAAGAAAATGTTTCAAAAGCTTAACCTTCACTAAAGTTACCTTTCAACACTTACTGATTCCATCTTCTTGGATCCTTGGTTTGAACAACTTTCTCAATTCTAGTTCTTACCTTCATACATATATATCTGGGCAGGAAAAAGTCTGCATCTCTGGCATTCTGTGAAAAGCCAGCAACTGTTAACATTAGAATCAATTGTGGTAGGGGAAGTCACTTTATAAAAATAGATCAATGGCTTGATGCTGAAGGCATTTTGTTTATAGATCTCATAGGTAATAGTAGCTCTTACTTAAATTTTTCAGGTGAAATATTATATAGTCACCTATGTGGGTATGTGGGAAGCATAGTTTCAACATTGCAATGTGGAACTTGACTCATAATATGTAATGATTCTTCAACTAGTACATTAAATTCTCATAGATAAAATGACAAAATTTGATTATTACATGTTTTAGGAAATTTAGCATCACTGTTTTTGGGGGGAAACTACCTTTTTAAAAACCATATTTTGATGCCATTTTGTATTTTTACAGTTTTGTTTAGGAAAATAGTTATTTTCGCCCCAAAAATTTGACCTTGGTTATTTTACACATGTTGAAAAAAATCTCATGGCATGTCAAGTTTCTTATGAGAAGCTTATACTTTAAAATTTAAAACAAAGTAGAATAGCTCCATAATTGGGGCACCACTCTGAGTGACTATAGTTTTGAAATACAGTACATTAATCATAGGCAAGAAAGGATCTGTGAACTGAATACACAGATTTCAGGATATTGGAAGGGAAATTGGTAAAACTAAAGAACACTTCATGTTAACAGTTCTCATGGGGGGGGCTGGTGGTACAGTGGCCAAAGCATTTGGTTGGCAGTTTGAACCTACCAGGTTCCACAAAACAAAAAAGAGGCAGTTACTTCCATCAAGATTATCACTTTGGAAACCCTACAGGGCCGGTGTACTCTGTCCTATGGGGGCACTGTGATTCAGAATGCATTTGACGGTATGTGGAGTGACAAGAAATGAGTCATGCTATCTTGGGGGCTAAGAGAAATCTTCGGATGTCTGAGCCTTTGCTTTAAAATGAATGGCTTCTTATTTGCTGTTTGGCACTTACCCTGTTTATCTGTGCAATCCCGTCTTGAAAGAAATAAAGGAACATACGTGTACCCAAAGGACAAAACTAATTTGCCCCTCTCCACAAACTGTGTACAAAACTCAATAGGTAATAAAAGTGGGTCAACAACAGCACTTTAAAAATGAAACACAATTGAAAATATGTGAATATACTGCACATATTAATACAGTATTATAAGGGTGCAAGTATGTATATGTGTAGCTCTAGTCGTAAGAAGCTGTGCTGCCAACCCAAAGGCATGAGGGTCAAATCCAATAGCTGCTCTGTGGGAAAAAGATGGGCAGTCTACTCCTTTGTGATTTACAGCCTCTGAAAACTCACTAGAGGATCAGCTGTGAGTCAGTTCCAACTTGACAGCACATAACAGCAACATTATATTTATATATACTTTTTTATATATATACTTTTTTATACATACACTTTTTAACAGGGGATTATAGCAAAAAGTTCATTAAAACTTGTTACCATAGACTTTAATATTAAATTTAGAAATCCTAAAACCAAAAGGTAAGACCACATGCTTTTTTAAAAATGAGTTACCCAGAAGAGCTATCTAGAATGTCATTCACTGACTCATTGCCATCGAGTTGGAAGCAACTCACAAATTGACCCTCTATTGGGTTTCTGAGGCTGAAATCACATAGAAGGAAAATGCTCATCTTTCTCCCTTGGAATTGCAGGTGGATTCAAACCACCAGAGAGGCACACCTTTAGGTTTGCAGCGCAGCTCCCTAGACTATGCCACAGTTGTAACTATTAGGTGCCGGTGACTATATGAGTACCGTAGTCCTATCCTATGCCATCCTCACAATCTGTGACACACTCAGGCCCACTGCCTCAGTGACTGTCAAACCACCTGGCTGGGTCTTCTTCCTTCACTGTCTCTCCATCTTCACAAGCATGATGTCCCTCTCCAAGGAATAATGTCTCCTAGCAACATGCCCAAAGTATGTGAGACAAAGCTGCATCATCCTTGCCTCTAAGGAGCACTCTGGCAGCACCTTCTCCAAGACATATATCTTTTTGTTCTTTTGGCAGTCCATAGGATATTCACTCTTCAACACCACAATGCAAAGGCATTAACTCTTCATCTATCATCCTTAAGTCACCGTTCAGCTCTCAGATGCATAGCAAATGATTAAAAAGACCATGGCTTGAATCAGGCCAGCTTAGTCCTCAAACTCTACATGCCACTAGAGTTTCCTATATGACAATGTATCACCCACACATATTCATTATTATTATTATGATGATGATGATGCAACAGTATCAGGGAACACAGGAAAGAATATTATAGATGAGAAAAATACCTATTTCCAAATAACTTGTCTACTGCCTTTCTAAATCCATTGCTGTTGTTGTTAGGTGCCTTCAAGTTGAATATAACTCACAGTGACCCTATGAACAAAAGATCTGAATGAACCCTGTTCTATCCTATGCCATCTTCACACTTCCTGACACACAAGAGCCCACTGCAACAGTCACCGTGTCAGTTCACCTGGTTGAGGGTTTTCCTCTCCTTCACCGACCACCCTTTACAACATCATGTTTTCTCTTCAAGAAATATCCACTCCTAGTAACATGCACCAAGTATGTAAGACAATGCCTCATCATTCTTGCCTCCAAAGAGTACTCTGGTTGCATCCTCTCCAAGACATATCTGTTTGTTCTTTTGGCTGTCCATGGGATGTTGAGTGCTGTTCTCCAGCACCACAGCTCAAAGACATCAATTCTTCCTGTGTTATTCCTGTTCACTGTCCTGCTCTCAAATGCACAGCAAATAATCAGACTATGGCCTGAATCAAACCCACCTTAGTCCTCAAATTGACATTATTACTCCTCAATAATCCATACTTTATATAAATGTTGCCAATACGGCACAGGAGAGGAAGGCCCTCTATGAGGTGGACTGATTCAGTGACTGGGATAATTGGGATGGGAGTGTCGGAGACAGTGCGATTGGCACAGGACAGAGCGGAGTTTAGGGCTGTTGTACATAGGGTCGCTATGAGTTGCAGGCGACTCGACGGCACATAACAACAACAATATGTCAAAACAATTTTAAAGAATTTAAATTCATAGTATTTTTGTAAATCTAAAAAACAGACTTATGCTATTAAAATCTCCCATTTTTAAATTCAAAACAATTTGTATTTGGTTTTGATATGTTGCATTCATTTGGCAATGATGTATCATCACTCAGTGAATACTTTAATGAAATAACCTCTGGTATAAAAATTTTTAAAAAACCCTAGCCAGAGGACCATATAAATAACCACTTTTGCTATTATCTTAGAAACCAAAACACATCTGTGTAACATTTCATGAACATAGTGGCTATAAGAGGCTTCAGTGAGGCCCCGAAAAACAAGTCCTAAAGTTGTTGGTAGCACATCGTTGATTTCAAATTTCCCTTGTAAGGACATAGCAATGAATGGAAATGTGCCTCTTAAACCATACTGTATGTTACCACAGGAAAAAGATTTTTTAAGTGGCCTTTGTTCTTTGAAAGGCTAGTAAAATAGTGATCCACAATATTACTGTTGAAAAGGCAAAGACATCTTTACAACCTGGTCTAAGGATTAATATTTTCCTTTATAAATGTTTTAATTACATTACAGAGGAGAAGAAAATAATATATATACTTTAATCAGGTTAATTTCAAAACAAAAGAACACATTAGAGAAAAATTACTTAAAAATAGTTGTATTTGTATTTATATTCCACAATTTGTTCAAATACTGGTTTTCTTATAAACTTTCTACAGGATGATTTTTTAAAACAAATTCTTCACATTGTGTCTTGACTATGTACTTACGGAATTTCAGGGAAATAGTTCTGTTTTTTTTATAGCTTAATTTGTACTAAAGGGATGGCAGGTGGTCACATGCAGTCCATGTGGGATTCTAGCATAACGTTTAGTGAGTTTTCTGACGTGGACCATCCCTTTGATGCCGAAGGCAGTGCATCTGTTGAAAGAAGTGACTGTAGATTTGGATTACTGCTCTCTGCGTCTTCCAATTTTTCTGTGTTATCTTCCCAATTAATGTGGAATCTTGTGACCCTGGGATTAGATGCCAAAATGTTCCGTTGAAGCTAGAGAAAAAGGAAAACACCAACAAAGTGATAAACACCAGGCAAGTTAGATTATCATATACAAATAGGAACTTAAGATGGTTCTTTGATAATAACCCTTAGAATTAATGAACAAAGGTGAAGTAGGTCAAAAATAGCACTTAATTCAACTAATAAACAAAAAGTAGGCCAAGAGGAATTCTTTTAGAACAGTGGACACAGGATGGAGAGAATCTCAGGGTATTAATCCAAATTTTTACTGTCAGAAAATGTAACTAACTCATCTGTAACTGCTTAAAAGAGACTAAAAGATCATTTTGGTTTGGCTTTTATTGTTGAGAATACACATAGCTCATCTCTAAATGCACTGTGTAGTGAGGGTGATTACCATCTTCTGATTGTGTGACATTTTCACTGTCCTTTTCTGAGTTGTTTCTCCTCCAAGAACAGAAATTCACTGTCCCCTGATGTCCCTGAAAGACTTTAGGCGGATGTTGTTAAATACTATCGAGTTAGAACTAACCCATGGCTGACCCTCCAGTAGGTTTTTAGAAATAGTAAATTGCATGGTAGGAGACTGCCCATCTTTCTCCCGAGGAACAGCTGGTGGACTTGCTTACCATTAGGCCACCAGAGCTCCTTCTGATGGTATAGTGTATTAGTGTATAACATATTGGGCCAAATGGTTGATTGTTCATCTCTAGCAGTCCACAGGAGAAGGATGGGCATCTCCTGTGAAGATTGACAGCCTGAAAAGCCCAAAAGTGGGTCATTCTAGGACTGACTCAATGTCAGAGGGTTTATGATGGTTCCTAGCTAATCTTTAAAGTTGCTGTCATCCATTTAATCCTATACAGATCGTTCTTAAGAGCACAACGCTCAAGGCAGCGTCACTGGTTAAGCTAAACGGTTGTCTGGTTTTAAAGCTTCACAGGAAAATTTTGGTTTAAAGATTATCTAAAAAAAAAAAAATTATCTCAGGGTAATAGTTTCAGGAATTCATTCAACTTTTAAAGCTCCAGGAAGTCTGGAGTCTAGGAGAAAGTACATTTCTTTTTTGAAAGTATTCAAGTGTTTCAGAGGATACTTTAAGCATTCTCCTTAGACTGAAAGTATCTCTCTCTTAACACATTCAAGCAGCAAGAACATTCCTCAAGTATAAACTAATTAAGTTAGTGGTCAAGGAGTCAACTCAGCACCTAGTTTCTCTATTGTGTCAGAGTAGAACTGTGTCCACTGAGTCTTCAATGCCTGATTCTTTTCCCCCAGGACAACTCCTTTAACTCCACCCACAGACTTCTCACCTATGTTGTTACTGTTCAAATGATTCTGAGTATAACTTCTGTTATTAGTGATTTTCTGACTTAAAACAGTTTCTATTTTCTTTATCATCTAATTTTTTTTCTTGTATAGAAATGGAGTCATGTTCAGAATCATTTACTATGTATCCACATAAAATCACGTTACTAAACGGTTGGAGTTGCCAGCTGGACATATAAAGGCCTAAGGATCTTTGAAGACATTGAATAAAAATGTTTAGCTTCTATTACCAAAGATATTTAAGGCTTATAGTTTAACTTTTAAGCATAAAGATCCCTAGGAAGTGCAAATGTTTTATGGCCAACTACTGACCTAAAGACTGAGGTTTAAATCCATCAGCAACACTGCAGGAAAAAGGCCTGGCAGTCTACTGCTGTGAAATTTATAGCCAAGAAAAATTCTATGGCACAGCTGAAATAAACTCAATAGCAATCGAGGTTGTCTTTTGTTTTCAGTTTAACTTGTAAAAATAATAGCTACAACAAAGCACTTAGATGTATAATAAAGCATGTGAGAGCATAATAGTCTTTAAAAAAGAAAACCCAAACACAAAATGTCCTCAGAATGTTGGGAATAATTAGATAAAAATATATTACTTAATAATAAATTTGACAAACATGAATTTGAATGCCCTCTGAGTGTGTGGCATTTGGGTTTGTAGTAAATGCTGAAATTAATACAATTACGACAGATGAGAAATGCTATCAGATATTCTCAAGGTACCTGACCAGCACCAATTACTAATAACACCTGAAGTTTAGAAACATAACAATGATCAGGTGCTCAACTGACACAAGAAAGTCTCATTTATTTTGTATCTTAAAGCCATTTTTATAGTGCACAATGTTGTTGTTGTTAAAATGGTAATTTAAAAAAAAGGTATGGTAAAAGAGAAGTTACTAAAAAGGAACAGTCAGAACATTACCTTAGAAAAGTCTGGCTTTACTGGTGGGTTTTCCCGCAATTCTGTCTCGGTATATTCATTATTTACATAGTAGCCAACTCTAATAAATTCTTGACCTCGATAGGTACATGTAATTAGCACAACTGTTACACCTACTGCATCTGCATCTGGAATGAGTCCTGGGTTAGGTGCATCAGCCTAGAATATTTGAAAAGAAACACACAAAAAGTTGTTAACTGCAGGCAAAATCAGAAAGGTTAGTTACCCTGAGCGCCTATAATTGAGGATGCAGCAATGAACTTTTAAAATCATACTGGAAAGGCAAATGCTCATTTTTAAGACTGAAAATATATCTCATGTGTTTCTCCACAATATATCCAAGTACCTGAGTACATGAAAGCTTCGCTATTTCTGTTGCTCAGTCGCTTCACAAGATCACAGGCCTAGGCAGAAGACTGAAACTCTGCCTTTGTCCTGTGCCATCCTCAGTTGTTGCTTTGGGGTCCACTGCTTCAGCCAGTATGCCATTCCACCTCCTTGAGGATCTTCATTTTTGCAGAAACCTCTAGCTTTATCAAGTATGGTATCATTCTTCAGGGACACAACGTCCCTTCGGATGACATTTCCAAAGTATGCCTGGCTATACTTTTGAGACAGATTTAGTTATTCTTCTAGAAGTCCATGGTATATTTAATTTTCTTTGCAAAGACCATAATTCGGTGCCATCAGTTCTTTTTTTTTCCATCTTCCTTATTCGTTGTCCAGCTATCACATGCATTTGAGATGACTGAAAATACTATGTTTAGGGAGAAATTATGACAACTGTGTGTAATAACGGGATGCACATATGGTTTAGTGGTAGGGAGAATATTATTATAATTCATAGGGAATTACATAATTTCAGTTACAAAAATCAGTTTTCAAACCTAAATTAGTAAAATACTCAAATATTTCTGTTAGCAGCAAGTATTTACTATTCACACATTTCCCTCTCCTATCCACAACACAGACGCTTATATGCATCCATCCAACCTCAGATGGTAATAGTAAACTAACGATAAAATAAGAAATAGGGATGAAGACAGTTCATCCCAAATGTAAGTACTTTAAGAAAATATTAATTAAAGCTAAAAGTACAGACAAGCCAAGCGTACCTGTCCATGGCAGTGTTTGGAACAGTAAAGAGATGGATTGTCTGTGAGAATAGCTGGTATACAGGGAAGCGCTGGGATGGCCAGGCATTCGCTTGTCCGGATGCACTCTTCTGGGCAGTAAGTGGATGAAGTCCAGCATTACCTTACTTTTACCTCACCACCAAGGATCATCCATTGCTAGGCCTGGAAAAATACTTCTGCCATTTTTATTTTTTTTTTCATTTAAACTGGCATTTTGAATTAGGATTATCACCTAACAGTATTTACTGTATTCCTACCTTGTGTAACTGATAAAAAACTGCATAAAGTATCAACGGGAGTCACTGAGGCAACAATTCTTCTTCAGCATTCCTTACTCATTATCTAGCTTTCGTGTGCACAGGATTGTCAGGAGGTCCCAGTCCTAGGAAACAGGCATGCTGGGAAAAGAGGAGAGTCAGCCAGAAAGAGAAAGACTCTCAGGGAGATGGACTGACGAGTGACTGCAAAAATGGGCTTGAGCATGGCGAAGCTTAAAATCTTTGAGGATGGCACAGGATAGGACAAGGTTTCATTTTGTTAATGGCACCTAACAACAACAATAAGAATAAAAGTCACTTAATGCAAAAAACTTGAGGCAACTAATGTTTATTATATGCCTGTTGTTATGTGCCACTGAGTTGGAACTGACTCACAGCTGAGCCTACTGCAGGTTTTCAGAGGCAGTAAATCACACTAGGGAGACTGTCCACATTTTCCTAAGGAGAGGCTGGGAGATTAAAACCATGTGCCTTATATGCCAACCATATGTAAATGAGACAACAATGTCTACCCTAGTCACCTAGGAAAAAACCAAATCAACCCTGAACAACCCGATTTCCCATACTGTCAGTCTCAATATCTCCCAATCATCTCTGGAGAGGAAATTTATCTCCCTTATTTTTAGAATATTGTGAAAACCTTCTAACTGGTCTCTTAGTCTCCACCATATCATTTTACGCGTCAGATAATTATAAAAATCTCAGTTCTTTGCAAGGGTTTTTAAGTTCCTTTACAACATGTCTCTAGCCAACATCTCCATTCACTCTTCTAATTTCACACCTCACCCTTAACTGTAGACATAAGAATTACATATTCTTTAAAATGTGGAGAGATTTTGTTTTCCCTATCTTATTGTCATTCACACATACTGTCCCCTCGGCCTGAAAGCTCATTCTTTAACATGTTTAAAAATTCCTCTTTTAAAGCTTGCATCGAATGCATTCTTACTGGTACAGCTCTATCTAGCCTGTACATGACATAAATCCTCTTCCTATTATTGTACTATTGCCTATTATTGTATTGTACACACAACAATCTAGGTATATTTACCTTTCAAACGTCCCACTATATTTAAAACTCCATCCAGGGCAGGGAACCCACCTTTGCAATCTCTTATCTACCACAGCTCTATGTACACAGTACATGAATTCAGATCCTGCCTTTAGGGGTTCATAAACTTTTCTTGGAGACATACCAGGATAAGGACAGAAGACCTGTCCTGGAGAATGTGCTGTATGCCTTAGAGGTCCTGTGTAACCCTCCCCAGAGGGATTTTAGGTGGTCTCCAGGGTACCCAAAGAAATTCTAGAGTACCTGGAGGGGAGTGGAGATGGGAAATAGAGACAGCTCAGTACTAAGATGGGAAGTCTCTTCCATACTTTGCTACCCCATCCCTTCAGCAAAGTGGTCCTAGGCATGTTACGGATTAAAATCTATTTGCCAGAGGATTCTGCTTGATCAAATTAGAGTAGAAAAACATGTGTCTTGTATCACTTAGGATGAAGAAATGATGGACAAAGACATATCGCTGTAGCCAGCAATATTAAGTGGCTATCTGGACATCATTCTTCTAAGTGGTATAGTATAGCATTATTCTTCTTGATGGTTGCTGTGATGCTGAACACTGTGACAGTGATGCATCAAATGTGATAATGGTTACCCATGGTGGACAGTGTTTACTGGAGCTCCCCAATTAAAACAAGCTTAGAAGCAGGAGTGGCATCCATTTCCAAAACAGCTTGCCTCCAGAAACTCTATGAACTTGGAGAAAGGATGAAAGTTATACAAGTGTTCAGGTCTTTTGTTCATAGGGTCGCTATGAGTCATCTACAACTTGACAGCACTTAACACCACCACCACAATCTGGCCATCTTCCAACTAGCCTTTGACACTCTCATGAAAAGGCATTTTAACTCCCTGAAGAGGCAACATCATAGCAGACCAGTAGGTTATTGTGGCAATTTGTTTAAAACATGAAACAAAAAGTATAATTTAGTCACTTAATTTCCTAATGGTGAACTGTGTAAAATGCATAAACTGAACAAACGACCTGAATCACAATGTGCTTCATCTCTTCTTTTTGGCAACATAGAAGCTGACACTAAGGCAAATCTTGTGAAAAGTCACCAGAAGGAAATATTTTTAATTATTTTTTTCTATAGCATACAAAAGCAAAAGCTTAGGAATATTTTTCTAACAATTTAAACACACAAAAAGATTTTTGAGGATTTTAAAAACTAAAGCCACTTCTTTTGAGAAAAAAATTATTTTGTTTTTATAGTAGTATTAAAAGACCTATCATTGAATGTCTATCCAAACTTCTTAACACATCATGAATGAACAGTAAAATATAGATTTCTCAGGTTTGAGGGTCCAAACAAATGCTGCTTTTATACATACATTTTTAAGAAGTTGAAGAGAATAAAATTTAAATCAAATTACAGAAACAGGGCTTCTACTGATGGTCAGTGACTATGCTAAGACTTTATTCTTCATTTAATCTTTAACATTATTACAAAATAGGATTTATTCACATTTTATAGATGACTGGAGCGACTAATGGAGGCTAAGGAGCTTGTCTGAAGTCACATTATGGCTAATAAGCCGTGAAGCCAGAATTTGAACCAGGTCTCTAACTACAGTGCTTCTTCCAACACGGCATTCTGTAACTCCTGCCCTTTCATAGAGGCCATGTGCTCAGAGGTCAGGTTTAGTAGCATTAATGCCTTTTAGATAATATATGAGCTTTTCGCAAAGGTGGGAAACCAAGATTCCAAATTTATAGTTAGAAATAGAGAAGCCATATGCCCAAGTAATTTTTATCCTTTTCTGATGGCGTTATTGAGTTGTTATTAATATGTTGGTCTCATCTGTAAAGGGAAAAAACAGTGAAGTAAGAGGAAGAGTTACATCTAGTTCCTTTCTGAATTAAGTCTCTTTAGTGAGTTCTATTTAACTTATATGATTTTCTGGTGTAGAATTACTATTTATAGGTTTTAGTTTGTGGTTTGTTTGGGTGTTTCCCCCCCCCCAAACTTATGGCTACTCTTCTATTAGAAATATCCCCTTAATAAGCACAAATAATTGCCAAACATAGTTTTACCCAGCAATTTAATATGGACTAAAGGAAATGACTTTTGAATGATGTTAAGTGCCGTCGAGTTGCTTGTGACCCTATGTACAAAGCTCTGAACCTTGCTCTATCCTGTCCCAACCTTACTGTCTCTGACAGATAACCCCATCACCCCAGTCACTGAGTCAATCCATCTTATCAAGGGTCTTCCTCTCTTGAGCAGATCACAATGTCTGAAGCTTTCATGCAAACTGAGCACCATCACTGGTCTCTAACTGAGAAGCTAATTTCTTTTAGTAGCCTTCTCCCTTACAAATGTCAAGAGGGTAGTGGATTTATAACTGTAGTCCACTAGAAAATGTGGAGATTAGATGCATTAAGTAAACTACTGGATTTCAGTTCCAAGACCCAAGGTCAAAGCATAGATCCTTGTTTATTTACTGATATTCCTAGTAACTCAGCTCAGTTCCTTATTATGCAGAAGTCATTTTTTTGGTCATATCATTACTCCTAGCAGCTAAAGCCATAAAATTATAAAGATGCATCTCAGTTAGTAGTACTTGAAATCTATACTTTGGGGCCACTGAACAGTCACCTGAAGTCTGAAGCTAAGGAGCATCAAAGAGGAACCAAAGATTAAATGTTGGGGTCATGATGCAGTATGAAGTTTACAGTATACCGTGCAATTCCTTTATTTCTCTCAGCATGTGAAACCATGATTTGGGAGTTTTTTGACACAGATATATGAATGTAACAGACGACTTAACTTTTAAAAATATGATGAAAGCAGACTGTAAAGTGAAGGAAACTGAGCAGTGGTTTACTTGAGTAAGTCATTGATTTACAGAGTAGTGATTGAGAGACAGGAATAAAGATAGCAATATAGTATGTTTTGATACATTTGGCATATATATGGACCAAGAATCTTACCTGAAATACGAACATATGCCTTCCTGCAGGAACAGGTCCCACTAAAACAGAGTCTAAAACTTGATCGTATTCTTCACTTTCTGCAGAGCCCACATAAATAATTTTCCATTCCAAGTCTAGGGTTAAAAACCAACACATATTTCAGTCAGTAATTATATCACCAGATGATATCAAGGACTCTTAATGTCCATTTAACCATTTATTAATTACTAAATTAGCTTCTAATAGCAGAAACTCCCAAAACGGCACGGAATGCTCCTTATCAACTATGATACTTCAGCCTGTTGTTATTTGTTGTTACGTGCCATCAAGTATGACTCATAGTGACCCTATGAATAGTGAATCTGAACCCTGTTCTGTCCTATGCCAGACTTCCTGACACACAAGAGCCCATTGTGGGAGTCACCATGTCAGCCCACTTGGTTGAGGGTCTTCCTCTCCTTTGTCAGCCTTCCACCCTTCCAGCACCATGCCCCTGTTCAAGGAATAGCCCCTCCTAGCAACATACCCAAAGTATGTAAGGCGAAGCCTCATTCTTGCCTCCAAAGAGCACTCCAGCTGCACTCTCTCCAAGGCTTATTTATTTGTTCTTTTGGCCGTCCATGGTATGTTCTGTGCTCTTGTCCAACACCACAACTCAAAGTCATCAATTAATTTTCTGTCATCCTTATTCATTGTCCAGCTCTCAGATGCATAGCAAGTGATTGGAAAACCATGGCCTAAATCAGACACACCTTAATCCTCAAACTGACATTATTACTAATCCTCAATAATTTGGAGAAGTCCTTAACTGCAGACTTTCCCAATGCAGTCTGCCTCCGTATTTCCTGTCTACTGGTACTGAGGGTATTAGTTGTGGATCCAAGTTGTTCACAGTTTCAAGCACTTCTCCATCCACCAAAATGTTGCCTATTCGTCCAGTGGTTAAGAATCTTCATTTTCTTGACATTGAGATGCAATCCATATTGAAGCCTGCATTCCTTGATCTTCTGCAACAGACGCTTAAGTCCTCCTCATTTTCAGCAAGCAAGACTGTGTTATCTGTTTAATGCAGGTTACTGATGAGTCTCCCTCCGATTCTGGTACCACATTCCTCTTCATAGAGCCCAGCTTCTCTAATTACCCAGAAGTGTTTGAAGCAATATGTCAACAGAGAACTGCCAGATGTGCAGGCTGGATTTAGAAAAGGTCATGGTACTAGGGATATTATACCTAATGTTAGATGGATCTTGGCAGAAAGCAGAGAATACCAGAAGAATGTCTGTCTGTGCTTCATTGACTATGCAAAGGCTTTTGACTGTGTGGATCACAACAAGCTATGGCTGACTCTGAGAAGAATGGGAATCCCAGAACATTTGATTGTGCTAATGTGAAACCTATGCTTGGACCAAGAGGCAGTCATCAGTACAGAGCAAGGAGACACTACATGGCTCAAAATCAAGAAGGGAGTCTGTCAGGGATGTATTTTGTCTCCATACCTCTTCAATCTGTATGCAGAACAGATCATCGGAGCTGCTGGGCTGTACAAGGAGGAATGTGGCATCAGGATTGGCGGAAGATTCATCAACAACCTGCGTTATGCAGATGACACAACCCTGCTTGCTGAAACTGAGGAGGACCTGAAGCACTTGCTGCAGAAAGTCAAGGACTGCAGCCTCCTATATGGATTGAAGCTCAACATCAAGAAAACAAAGATTCTCACCACTGGGCCAACTGGCAGCATCAGTATGGATGTGAAGAGATTGAGATAGTTAACAGTTTTAGTTTACTTGGTTCTACAGTCAACATTCTTGGTAACAGCAGCCAGGAAATCAAGAGACGAATTGCACTGGGAAACTCAGCTGTGAGGGACTTCTCCAGAGTACTGAAGAGCAACGACGTCAAGCTGGAGACTAAGGTGTGCCTGATCCAGGCTATAGTCTTCGCATTTACATGCTATGCATTGGAGAGCTGAACAGTGAATAGGGATGATAGAGAACTGATGCCTTTGAGCTGCGGTGCTGGAGAATAGTTGACTATACCATGGACTGCTAGGAGAACAAACAGGTTTGCCCTGGAGAGGGTGAAGCCGGAATGCTCCTTGGCGTCAAGGATTCTGAAGCTTCGTCTGACATACTTTGGGCATGTTGCAAGGAGGAACTGGTCCTTGGAGAGGGACATCATGTTTGGGAGAGTGGAGGGACAGCGCAGGAGAGGAAGACCCTCGATAAGATGGATCAATTCTGTGATTGGGACGGTGAGAATAAGTGTGTTTGAGACGGCGAGGTTGGCACAAGATAGAATGGCGTTTAGGGCTCTTGTACATAGGGTCGCTATTAGTCGCAAGTGACTCAATGGCACATTAACAGCAACAACATACAGATTGAGTAGGTATGGAGAGAATACAACCCTGACGTACTCCCATCTTTAATTTTAAATTATGCAGTTTCCCTGCTCTGTTCACACAATAGCCTCCTCTCAAAATGCCTTTTTTTTTTTTTTGGTGGAACACTGGAACTGGGTAAGGGTGGAAAATGCTATTACCTAATCTTTAGAAGCAAAGTAAAGTATTCTGAGACATGCTTCAGTAAAGAGCATCCAAGACTGAACCCGTACCTGTCCACCCGATCCTGATCTACAGTGACCTGTATGTTGGAGTACAACTACCCCATAGTTTAGTAAGGCTGTAGTAAATTTCAGCAATAGACTGCCACATCTTTCCCCTGTGGAGTGGCTGAGTTTGAACTGATGAATGCTTAGCCCTGTGCCAGAAGGGTTCCTTAAAGAACATCTGTTGTTGTTATATATCATCAGGTCAGAACTGAGTCACAGATGACCCTCAGTGACTTTTCAAAGGTTGTAAACTGCTCTGGAGCCTGCGCACCCTTCTGCAGTACAGCTGGTGAATCTAAACTGCATGCCTTTGCCTTGGCAGCACAATTCCTTACCACTAAGCCACCAGAACACCCTTAAAGAATAGTAAGTAGACTTAGTTTCACAATCTCCAGATACATAGGACAATGATATCCTCTCTCTCACATCCCCTTTTCACATTAACTTTTAACAGCCCACTTGTCAGATTTTGAAACTCTATTAGGCACTCTTCTCTGTCCTTTGTTGCTGCTGCTGATGTGTACCATCGAGTCAGAACTGACCCTTAGCTGACTCTCCAACAGGTTTTCAGAGGCAGTTCACTGTAAAAAAATGAAATACACAAACAAGAAAAACAAAACAGAGGCCGTTAACTGCATGGGAGGAGGGAGATTGCTCATCCTTTTCCCAGCAGAACAGCTGGTGGATTCAAACTATGTGCCTTCAGGATTGCAGCACAGCTTCTTGCCACTGGGTCACCAGAACACCGTACTCTGTCCTATAGGAATACTCAATTAATTTGATCATGATGGCAATCTTACTTTGGGACTATTACCCTATACTGCCAAAAGAACAAAGAAGAATGTCTTGGAAAAAGTACAGCCAGAATGCTGTTTGGATGCAAAGATGGCATGGCAAAGCTTTGTCACACATAATTTTGGGCATGTTACTAGAATTGATTTGATGGCACCCCCAATGGGATGGATCTGAGACAGTGATTTCAGCAACAGGCTTTAGTGTGTCAGAGATAACGAGGCTGGCACAAGACAGGGCATGGTTCAGGTCTGCTGTTGATAGGGTCACTTAGAGCAGTATGCAACTTGACAGAACCTAACAAAGTAAAGCGAGACACATAATTCACTCTAGTCGATTTTATTGAGAATCTTTTATAACTTGACCTACAAGAACTCAGGTACAAGAAATGAGTAAAACTGCCCCTCCTTGAAGGGAAAGACGATGACTCTATAGACAGCTCATCTGACAGGGCTCCACATCTCTCAAGCTGTCGAGTGCTGTGTGGCCTGCCTCTTGGACTCATTGCACCAACTCCCAAAGTGAAGTTTTTGGGTCAGTGTTGAGAATCTAGTTAGCGCCACTGGGCTTGCTATTTCCAAATAACTAAATAGGTATTTTTGTTCCTAAATAAAGAACAGAGAGCTCTGTTGGTCTAGTGGTAAGAAGCTGTACTGCAATCCCAATGGCACAGGTTCGAATCCACTAGCTGCTCCATAGGACAAGGATAGGCAATCTCCTCTCATATGATTTACTGCCTCTGAAAATCCACAGAAGGGCCACTATGAGTTGGTTCTGAATTGATGGCACAAACAACAAATAGAGAATAGGGAGCTCTGGTGCTGTGGTCTTTAGGGAGTCCAACCCCTCTGGTGGTTCAAATCCACCAGTGGCTCCTTCGAAGAATGACAATCTCTCATTTTATTTATAACTATGGAAGCCCAGTGGATGGTTAGCTATGACTCAGTTCAGGCTCCACATCAGCGAGTGAGTGATTAGGTCTCCTACCACATTTCCACCATCTGTAACCCTTTATGGCATTTGACACACCAGTGGCATAGCTTTCTGTATCACAGCACCCCAAATTATCTCAGTACAGCAAACTGACAGACAAGTGTTGTACTACCTAGAACAATGTTCTCTCCAAATATAATTTAATACCTGCCCACCAAGTCCTGATCCAGCCCACAGCTGATTGTTAACTACATCAAAATGGCCCATCAGCTTACACTTAATTGTTAATGAAATAAAATTCCCAACTTACACCCAACTTTCAAGTAAACCAAAACCACCTATCCTCCAGAATCCAACTGCTCCCAACTGAAGACTCTTAGGCAGGACTCAACCAACTGCCTTTTAAATACAAAGGCCCACAGTTAGGGACCGCTCCAAATTATTGAGGAGTAATGATGTCAGTTTGAGAACTAAAGTGCGTGGGAGTCAGGCCATAGTCTTTTTGATTACTTGCTATGCATCTGAGAGGTGGACAGTGAATAAAGATGACAGAAAAGGAACTGACACCTTTGAGCTATGGTGTTGGAGAAGAGTCCTCAAAATCCCATAGAGAACCAAAAGAACAAACAGATGTCTTGGAGAGGGTGTAGCTGGAATGCTCTTTGGAGGCATACTTTGGGTATGCTATTCCTTAAGAGAGGAACATGATGTGAAGGGTAGAGGACTGGCAAAGGAGAGGAAGAACCTCAACTAGGTGGATTGACCTGGTAGTATGTCAAGAAGTGTGAGAAAATGGCACAGGATAGAACAGGGTTCAGATCTTTTGTTTAGAGGGTCACTATGAGTCATACTCAATCACGTTTCCAGATGCAAGATCTTTGCAGTCATGAGGAAGCTAATCATGTGACAGAGATATGAACAAGCTAAAGAGAAAACAAGGAAGGCAGCATAGTTAGAAGAGACATTTTTGTGATAAGTGGTTATATTCTGGGCCAAGTCTGAAGAGAAATGCAAAAGGACTTACTGATAAATTACAGGCCAAAAAAAAAAAAGGTAGTCAAAGACCCTTACACATCTAAGTATACATGTGGAAGGATGGAGCAGCCGTCTACTAAGATGGAGACAACAGTAGGAATCCTGTTTTTGTGGGGAAAACAAATCAGGATGTAGGTTTGGATGTTAAGCTTGCAATGTCTACCAGATATCTATGTAGAAATAGTAACTAGGTCTGGTTAAAGTTAGAAATTGTTGATGATATAAAATGCCATGACAATTGGTGAGAGTTCTAAGGGAGTAAGCCTGGAACCGTCCAAAGTAAACCCTTTTGTGGCCTACCTATTGTTTCAGTCTCTTGTTTCTTAGTACATGCCGCCACCTGTTGGGAACTGAATATATCTGAAGAAACACTTCTCACTCCATCAATCTACCACAGAGATCATGTGGGCCATATATGACCCACATAACTCAATTTTTTCACTTGATTTTGGTATACCTTCCATCATTAAAATCACCAAGTATGAAAAAATTTAAATAGAAAATAATCAAGGACATAAAAGGTTAAAGAGGTCTGTGAGGGGAAGAAAAAAGCAATAAAGATTATGTGAATGCCCAATAAGGTTAAGTATGAGGCTTTTTTTTAAGGTATGAGGCTTTTGAGACCCACAGTGAAGTACTGGTTGGACCACCTCATACACAGTCACTTGTCTGTCAGCAGAGGCTTGAGACTGCTGTGATACTAAGCATGTATCAGTAGCACTTCCAAATTATAACAGATTGAAAAGAACGATCTGATAATCTATTTCTGAATATCAGCCTGCTAGATCACAACAGTCCAGTCATAGATGATGGTGATAAACTAAAATTTAGCAACTGGTCAAGTGAAGTTAAGACAAAACTGCTACATGGAGGCTTCAGAAAATTTTGTCAACTTCCTTATGTCACATATCATGCTCCTGCCCCATCATCAGTGTTAAACTGTATGTGGGCACATACAATATACACGCACAAAGGCATGGTTTATAAACCTACTTTTTTATGTACCAGACATTGATCTTGGCACTTTATACATACTTTATTATAAAAGTTTCATTTTCCCCTATTATGTAGCAAATAAAGCTAAGGCTCTGAGAATTTTAAGTTACATAATCCAAAGTAACTTAGCTAGTAAATCAAAGAATCAGAAGGCAAGTTCTGCAGCTCCAAAACCTGGCCTCTCTGGAAAGAAATAAATACTGGAAACAAATCTCCTTTCTAGCTCTCCAGTTAATAGTAAAATAAAATAACAAAACCAAACTCACTGCCATGGAATCAATACTAACTCATGGATGGCTACCTTCCATTAGGTTTCCAAGGCTGTAAATCTTTAGACTGGCTCATCTTTCACAAGGCTAACAGATTCGACTCCCAAGCCTTTTAGTTAACAGTCCAACACATTGGACTGTGCCTCCAGAACCCCTTAATAGAATAAGGGAACTTATTTGGGGCAGGGGATGAGTGAGGGTACAGATGGAAAAAGGCAATCCAGTCTTTTCAAGTACAGGCTGGATGGAACTGAATAGAAACAAATCACTTGCATACCGACTTTCATGCTTATGAGGTGGTTGTGGAAGACACCGAGATTTAAATGCTCTGTATTTACTTAAAATTTGCATCAGTTTTACAAGCAGAACTACAAAAATCCGTGCATTTCATTAGTTATTTTTGTTTGAAAATATACAAATGCTTTACACAGGTTTATTTCTTAAAAAAATCACCCAGTGACGGCAAATGTGTTTCTAAGCCCATTTGTCCATTTAGAGTTGTGCGGCAACATGTTAATCACCGCTACCTTTATCTAAAAGTATCTCCTTTTGTGGTAGGAGTAAGAGAAGTTACCAAAAGTATTGTAAACTGATATACACTACTTGAGGTCATCTCTGGCCCAGTAGAAAAAATGAAGTCTTTAGAATTAGATAAAGCTAAAGTATGAAGAACTGTGTTCAGTTATGGTATGTTGTAAGTATTCAATTGACAGCAGCTTTTATTATGAATATTACTAAGCATCAGCATTCCACGGGAGGCCAACGATAAGGGCAGAACAAGCTTTGGTGACCACCAACAAAACCAGAGCCATTAAAGTTCTCCTACCTTCCAGACTCATGACCTAAATCTTGACCTCCCATTTTTCTAAGGCTGTTGTTCTACCTCTGATGTCTTACATTAGAAATAACCAAATTCTCCTAAGAGCAAATACCCAAGACTCTTTAATAAAACAAAACAAAAGATGCAAGTAAGTTTTTAAAGGAAAGTTGAACACACTTAATAATCCACATAGCCTCTAGGTGGAGTACAGAGGCATAGAGCCTTTTTTTGAAGGATTTCAACTTCAAGTATGACTCAGCTTAAATTCTTTTAAAAATATTCAATAAATGCTCAGTAACCATGCCCAAGGATGTGGATGTACAAGGAGGTATATATCCTTGACATCAATATGGTAAAAACTCTATGATTCAGCTAGGTTTTGAGTGGATCCAGTTATAAATGAAAGGCATATGAATGGCGGGTTTCAACCATCCAGTGTCAAAAGCTTTTACAACATCTTGAACTTCCTATCTTCCTTGTTCAGAGTACACGCCTAAAATGGAAGGCATCACTTGAGAAAAGGCTGTTAATTTGAGCTTTTAATGCCTAACACACAAGTCTAAATAGGAAGGGTTAGATCACATTGATGTATGGTTTCTCCCATCCACTGAATTTTATATGTAGTTGGAAACTTAAAAAAAGGAAAAACTGACCTAGATAGGAAAAGTGGGCATACGTACTATAGCAGTCACCAGGTAGCTTCCAAATAACAAAACACTAAACTTTAAGATCAATTTAAAAGATTAGGTTAGCAAATTTCTCAAAATATACTTTAGATGTGGTATATTTATTAAAACTGATGGGGAGGCATTGTAAAGTATTAGTTGTGGTTACTTATGGAGAATGGGGGAAGACACTAAAAATTACTACTTTACATGTCTGTACTATTTTCAAGTTTACTGTAATTAGCAAAGAATGCTTTTCTGTTTTAAAAAGTTAGCAACCCCTGTAAAATATAACAGATTCTTTAAATGAAAGTAATGCTTTACATACCATAAATTGGACATTTTAAATGCACTGTGTCGAGAATGCATGTTAAAAAATGTTCAAAAATGCAAGTACCTATTTAATTGTAAAATTCACAATGATGAAACAAAACATTTCCCTCTAAATTTTGAAAATGAAGCCCTGGGTCAAGAAGATGGACGTTGTTAAGCAAAGGTTTCACTTTCCAGATTTTATTACTACGAATGTTAAAATTTACCTTTCTTAAAGTCCTTAAAGTGACTTTTTAAAAAAACAATGAAATTGTATTACATCAGTTTCGTTTCTTTCTAGCTCTCTTTGGTGTTTTTAAAGTTCGGGGAATATTCTGTACCCATTTAGATGCGGAGTATTTGAGATCTTTTTCAACACGTTCTTGAACCGAGCCTTCTCGGACTATTTTAGAAGGCAGCTCATTAAGTTCTGTAATTGTGTTTTCCTATTTCGTGGATAAATGGAACTTTCCGGCTTAGGAGGATTCCTCTTCCTGAGATGAAGGGCTCCTGTCCCTAAGGAAGAGGCTTTCACGGTCCTGGAGGCGAGCCTGCGCGCCAGCATCCCCAGCTCCGGAGCATCCCGGGCGCCCTGGAGCCCGTCTCCGGCCTGGGAGGGCCCGCGGTGTCCGGGGAGCGCCGGCGCCCAGCCCGCGGCGCGGAGGGGCCGAGCCTGCGCCCGCCTCCCCCGCTGGTTGGTTGAGGAAGCCAGAAATCAGCGCGAGAACGGCCTCGCTCTCCTCCCCGAGGCGGCCCTGGCATGGCCCACCCTGGAGAGTAGGGCAACTCCACCGTGAGCTCCAAGAGCGCATCAGCCATTCCCTCGGGGGCGGGCAGGTGGGCAGCAGGGGCGCGGGTTTGCAGCCCGCGCTGGGGGGAAAGGAGGCGTCGTGGTGCCGGGAGCTGAAGCCCACTTCTCCACTCTGGTAAGATGGCTCCGCTCCGAACTCGCCGGCACGGCCACACACGCATTCCTCTCCATCCCCGGCCTCATCCCCGGCACCGCGGGGGTCGCGGAGACCTTTCCCGGCGCGGGGCCAAGCCGGCGCGCCTCCCACCCGCCGCCGCGGGCGAGAGTGCGGGTCTCGCGAACGGCCCGCACACCAGACAAAGCTGACAACATGGCTACCTCCGCTCGAACAAGTTCCTCGCAACTTGAGCCGCCGCAGAGACGCCTCGGCTGCGGCCGAACGCCGCGCGCGCCTGGCCGGCCGGCGTCCATCAACTTCAAGTTTCCCTCCGCAGAGCCGAGACCGCAGGCGCCGAGCAGCGTCCGGCCCGCGCGAGGCCCGGCCCGGGAAACTTTCAACGTCTGCAGCCCACAACTGACAGCCGGGCCGGGCAGCGGGCGCCGCCACTCACCTTCAGACAGATCCTCGATGCACTCGAAGGTGATCTCGAACTGGAACGGGTTGTAGAAAGGAGAAGGGTTATCCAGCACCACTACATTGTTCACCTGAACCTTTGCCATATTTTGAAAAACACACAAACAATGGGAACGGGGGCTTGTTGCGGCACAATAAAGTCCAGCGCGAGGCCGCTCGGCAGAGCGCAAACCCCTGCCTCCGGCGCCGGCCCGACGTCGTGCAGCGGCGACTTGAGAAACTTTTTTTTTTTTCCTCTTTTTATTTACACGAGAGCACTCCACAGTGTTTTTGCAGCTTTCCTATTTCACTAAACTACAGCCCATTCTGCTCTGATAACTAGCAGCGTTGCCCGCGATTGGCTGCACTCGAGCTCTGACCCTCCTCCTCCAGCACGGGCCTCCGCGGCGAGCAAGATGGGCTCCCGCACCCGGAATGGACTCGGAAACTTTAACTGCGGCTCCACCTGCTGGTGTGGATTAGGACAAAGGCGGAGAACAAAGTGAGTGGAATACGGGTTGGGAGGCCCGCGCGGAGGCCGCCGCCGGCGGCAGGGGGGAGGGGCAGCCCAGGCCCCGCCCCC